TGCGGTATCACGCTATCGTGCAATCACGGTGTGGTAATGCTGTCTATGGTATTGTGGTCACGTAGTGTATCTGCGTTGTCCGTGTTATCGTGTTCCTACAATGGCAACGTGCTCCACAGTGTGCAGTCGTGGTCACCCCAAGCGCCCACCTCCCCGTTTATTTCGTGGCTGGCCCGCCGTTCGTGCAATCTAGTTCTAATGTAGTACTGTCCTCCGTGGCTCGGTAAGCTCAGGTTCAACACTGCTATCGTTCTCCGCGGCACGTTGATTTTACGTCTATAGCTCTGCGGCTGCGTTCTCCCATGGCATAGTGGCCCAGACCATACTATCTAGTTATCTTGTGGTGTCCCGGTTGATCTGCCGTTTGTGCTTCGTATTTTACCGTGCTTCGTGGTCTACCGTGTTGTATCGTAGGTGATTTCCGTGCTCAGTAGCAGCTACGTGTTCTAGCCCGGTTTTAGGTAGAAAGTCTAACAGAGTCCGTGACTCTCAGTGCTTTCATAGATTTACATGTTAATTGCATCGGCCCGCTTCCGTGCTTTGTAGCTCTGTGTTCATATTTGTTTCCCCTCCATCGTACATACTGTTTCTTTCTGCCCTACAAATCTAGTTCGATAAGCTCGCACCTTCACCTAGGCTCACGCCCTGTCCTAAGCTCCCATACAACGCACCTAAACACGAAAGTAATTGTGACCAATGGAAAACGTTTATTTTTAGCCAATCAGTTTTTCTGGTGATTACGCGGATGTTTGTTGCGCTGGCGAGGTTTCCAGCGACGACGGCGGCGATTAATGCGCTCCTGGACAACACGCCGCGGCGGTTGTGGGGGCCCCATAGCGGCGGCAACTAAGGCCAGGCTTTGTTGGCGCGAATCAGTGGCTGGCTTCGGTTCTGGTGTGCGTGGGCGGTGCCAAAACGCCTGGCTGTATGGACCAAAGGCGCACGCGATGCACCTGCGGGCACCCGCTCGAGCCTGGCCCTGTGCGAATGCATCCCATGCTAAGAATTGTTCGCAACAGGCGCACAGCCGGAGCTGCAGCCCGAGACCGTCTGGCTCGAGCGGGGGGTGCACAATGACCGCCTGGCACGTCGAGCACATGGGAGGTAAACGTTCCATTGGAGAAATGTTTTATTAGAAACGTTTTTATTAAATTAGTAATATTATTTTTTAAGTATTAAACTAAGTATTTCGAAGTGTTGAATTACTACTTTGCTAAAATGCGATCCAGTGGTGTCGCCAGGGTCTAAAAAAAATCAACAGCGCCTACGACGATATAATAGTACCGGTGTGCACGTCGGCGAAGCCTACCAATGCAAATTAACCCGCACACACGCAGCGCCCTTTGCGTGAGGTGGCGCTCCAGCGTTAAAAATGGGGGCAAAATAAAATTTGAAAAGTGCATTTAAGTACGATGTGTAGACCACATGTAATATGTACACCACATAATGCAATATTAGCGAATCGAGGCCGCCTTCGCTGCGCTCGGCAGCCAGTAGAACGCGCGTATTAGCGTGAGGATTATTAACCCTAGCCCGTTACGGACGGACGTACGGACAGACACACGTCAGACTCCACTA